ACCCATGGAACCTCTATGAAGTCGACTCGAATTAACCTTGAAATCGACCTTAGGTCTTAAAGATCACACTGGTATCAAGGCTCAATTAAAGTGTTCAATGGAAGAAACATTTTTATCGCTTATCTGATGTGGGATATTTACGGAGCCACAAGAAAACAGAACAATGCTCTGAATAGTTAGCTAACGGAATGTCACGATATCGTAAGGGCTAGGATGGTGTTCTAATTGTGTGCACAGTGTCTTCAAATATTCGACAACCAAAACAACATGTACTTCCTCACTATATCTCTATAAAATCAGAGAACGTCTGAGGACTAGACTCTAACGAGTTGCTTCTGGTGTGCTTAAAAAGTTATTCATAGACATGCTCTCTACATAATATTTAAGATTGTAGCGGTAAATACTGATACATTAACGCATGTTTAAATGTGTAATATTCTCTTTCAATAGATAGGATCATGAGTAAATTGAAGTAAGGCTATCATGGAAAACCTGAAAACACTGGAAACCGTTTCGTTCCATTGTGGGACTTCTCAGCAGTGAACATTCACGATCCTGCCTCGCGAGATTCCAACCAAGGACATATCATTCTTACGCGCAAGCGCTCAACCTGCAAATCACTGAGCCGGCCGGCATCCAACGGTGTGAACGCCTAACTTCAACTAATCCGCGAAATCGAACGGCACATCCATCATTGTCCTCAGTGAGTTACTTTCTCACAACATATCCGAGTGAACTTCTCTGGTCACTGCTTCTCACTAGAACTCCAAAAACTGCCTCTTGAAGCCAGTCAGTAGTGAGCACATGATTGTTAACAGTGTAGGGTTGTGTTTAGAAAGTTGTTGTCCACTGTCACTTTTATAATATGGTAATTTCAATAGTTGAGCACATGAGTCAATTGAAGCTAAACCATCACTGTTGAAATTTTTACAATGTCCAGAAAAAACCCTTCTGATATTAATATTTTCTTACCTGAATAGGGGTTTTCCACTACTGCTATGTATAAAGACAAAAACTTCTTACAAAAGAACGGAATTCAAAAATAGATTTCACTTTATTCTCTTGAAAGAAGCATATGTATAATTTGAGTTTAAAGTGATATATCTGCGAATTTAATATATATATATATATGTATATATATATTTATATATAGTTCTGTTTTCTGCGAATTTCATGGACTTAAAAAGACCTGCACATCTCGGTTTCCTATGATGTAAGTAACATGCTACTAAATACCACAAAGTTGCTTGTAATCCAGAATAAAAATAGGCTTTCTGATTGAACGTTTAACATTTTTGTTCAATCGCATCAAAAATATGGAAACAGTGTGGTTCCCCTTTCGGTCTAAAGGAATAAGAATATTCTAGGTAGCGATCAAACACGAGTGACGAAATCAGTCCACCAGCTCATTCTTAACTTAACAATGAACAACTCGAATCGTCGTGTATTTACCCCTTAGAATATAAGAGACTTGCAGGATGCTTTACAGCATTATAAGCTCGACTGGTTGCTCTCTAAAATACCTCTTTCAATCCTTTCTCAACAAAACCTTTTGGTTAAACACCTAGACATTACAGACGTAACACTGTAAGCACATTAAGGCTTTTCGAGTTTTGGAACTTGATGATGACTGAAGTCGCTAAAGCCATGTCCTATAGTGTTGATCAGCAATATGATGTTTATGACTTTTGAAGAACACATTAACGCTGAGGAGAAAATAATATATATTCAGTGTGTAGAGATATGAGTAAAACAGAGTGATCATGCCTGCAATGCTGAACCATGCCATACTGGTCAGCTGTACCCGTGTTCACCATCTTTGCCCTCTTATATATGTTACATGTTAAATGCAGATCTTTTCAATAATTATATGCTCTGTTTCATTTTTTTCTTTGACGTTCGACTAAAAAACAATTAAAATGCATCGAGCAATGCACATAAGGGAAGCCACAACAACGGTCCAGCATACTAAAACACCGCTTATGTTCGCTTATTTCATATACCTAGGTTCCCACATTGAGGCATTGGTGATTTATTGCCAATTTATACAGAAGCTTGTTAAACGTAGTGAACTATTTTTACCGTATGAGAAGGGCTAATATGAGACAGTTAATATTACAGGCATTTGTAACTTGGTCATTTTTTCAGCAAGACATCATATGGTAGACGCTACGCTTTCAGACGGCCTTCAGTGATTCGGACAACAGGTGACTTTTGCGTCACAGGAAGTTCTGGCCTTCAACACATACACCCCTGATATTCCTTTCGTTGTAATCCAACGCTCTTGAATTCATGCTTATGTGTTTTACTGTGCACCCGTGCTTATTTCAAGCTCACTTCTGTGTAACACTACGCATTACTTATTTTGTGTTGTGCTGACGTTTGTAATGATAAATGTTTATGAGTGGGCTGTGAAGCTCTTCTCTACGTTTCATTCGCTACCAGCTGCTTACATAAATGAATGTCTAAAGTAAACTCTTCCCATCCAAATAGTATTGTGTTTTATTATCATGTTACCCAACAGAGTTCATATAAGCATAATACACGGAGTCGAAAGACCGATATTTTTAGCATAATCATAATCATTTGCTATGGGGCCAAGTTGTGGAAACAAGATAATCATTCTCACCCTAGTTTACATTGTACACTTTCATATATTTGCTCTTGTGAACTTCGTTAACTACTTTGCATGTTTCTATGTAATCACTGTATGTGTTTGCCCATACCTGCCTAATCATCCTATAAATCGTATATTTAGTATTTGAACTACTTCATACTTGACAGTTTTTAACAAGCCAATATTGAAAACAAACACTCATTGCTCTTACTATACGGCTAATTCTAAGATTAAATAAAACACCCTAAGCGCCAATATTTTGCATCGTAAAAATAATTTATTATAACCGAGTCAAACCAAATAAAACATAAGCAATTAGTTCCAAACTTTGTTTCAACAGTGAAGCGAGACTGTGTTTATTCATACGAATTTCATTGACAGCGTTTCTCATTGCTCTAAACATTCTATTAGATCCCTGATTTACCTAACCATTAAGTGTCAATTAAACAAACATCTACAGAGAGATCATAAACAAATATGTACAATGGTACGTGCAAAAACATCTCGTGAGCAGTCTGTAAGTTGTTGTGAGGAAAAGACGCAACATTTACTTTAAGTTCAACCTTGTTAAAATGATTCACTCTAGGTGTTCTTCTGTCAGTGTCTTAGATCAGGAATAAATAGTTTTCTAATCTGTAAGTTTCTTAGTTGATCAGCACAAGGACTTTAACCTCCCATAACTATGAATAATCTGCAATATAGGCAGAGATACAAAGTATAGATTATAACAGAACTTTGCTCCATATTGTCCAACTTACATTTATCCGCCTATAAGACATACTACCGTATCACGACATTTTAATCAAGTTGTCTTCGTTATTTAGTAAAAATATCTACTTACCCAGATTATTTATTGAAAACAGACTGGTTCATTCTATGAGCAGTTATAATTTTTAATTAGAATATTAATGTGGATAACAGAAATTTAGAGTTTACGCATGTTTATCGTAACTGTATTGGTCCATAATTCCTTGCACTAAAGACAAAAACTTGTTTTATTCGTAATAGATGAGTTTTTATTGTTACAAAACTTAATATGTCTTTTAACATGAATAATAAGTAAATCCGCAGTATGATATATTCATAATTATGAGAAAAATACGAAGTACAACAGAAGTTGACATTCCTGAACGGGGCTGTAATATGTTTCATACTCTGACCAGTAGAAAGTTAATTTACATTAAGTCGATCCGTAATTGTCTTCCTTGTTCAAATATCGTCTAAACCCTAGAATATTGGAGCGAACAGTGAAATATCATATGGTTTAAACTTTAAACATTACCATTTGCATCCTCATTTTCATCGTTTGATCTGATAACAATTGAAGTTTCTTGTCTCGCTCTTCTAATTGATTTTTTAACGTGTCAATTTCATAATCTTTCCGTTTTAATTTCTCTTGAATAGCTTTTCTTTGACGTTGTTCCTAGTTTGTTTAAAAAAAAACAAGAATGGTTAAAAATTAAATCTGAAACAAAATGTAACATGAATGCTATAATGGCAAAGATATGTAGCACGACCGATTCATGTATTAGAGTTAAAGTCCGCTATCCTAAGTTCAGCTATATAAGTGCAGAATTAAAAGTCCAGTCAATCATATATCACTTATATCGTGTAGTTCACTTAATATTGACTAATCAACTTTAAAAGTGTCGACTTGATTGTTCAACAAGATATGATCCACATGTAGTGAAGGCAAGATATCTGACTTAAAAATATGGATCATGGAAGTAAAAGCTGTGAGTAGGCTGCAAGTTCTTGTGCCGAAAGAAGAATAAATTATGAATAACTTATAGGAACTATTTATGAACTGTTATTACGTATATTCTTATTGTAACTAGGTTATACGTATTTAGATCTCTCACGATGCACCCGGTTGTCTCCACTGGTTGTGAGATAGTAACTCACCGAAGACCATGATGAAGCGCTGCGTAATTTTGTGAATCGGTAGATGTTTGACACTAACATCGTTGGATGCCGACTCAGTGGTCTAAAGATCAAGCGTTCGTGCGCGGGACCGATAGGTCGAGGGTTCGAATCTCGCGAGGCGGGATCGTGAATGCACGCTGCTGAGGAGTTCCACATTGTGACGGAACAGCCGTCCAGTGATTCCAGCTTTACCATGGTGGTCTAGCTTCAATTGACTCATGAATTCAACTATTATATATATATTTACAACAACATTACTTCAATTAATCACCTTGTCGGTTTGTTCATTGCATGACTGGCGAGGCTGTTTCTTCTGCGAGGGAATCACCTTAATTGAACTGAAATTCGAAGTTGGTGTTGAATTCTAGCACGAAAAATAAACAACTAAAGCATAAGTATAAGCTATTTTAATTTAAATCGGATATGACAAATATGATTTTAAATAAACACATTACTTACTTACGCCTGTTACTCCTAATGGGAAATAAACACATAGTGATAAATAATAGGTATTCGATACTGATGAACTTAACTAATCAAGGCATGAAATCATTGACTTGGTCCACTTCTGAGCATACAACTGCCCGATTAAAATGAATCTTGTGTCTGCTTAATGGCGAGTCTAGTTGTTTTACCATTCAACATATCTACATTTGATAAGTATATTTTTTTCATGCTAGTCTTGTCATCTTCTTTAATCTGATGGGTTACTCATAACATGTAGAGGTTTGAAAGAAAGCTAGCATCATGCTTTTATTATGTTTTTGATCCAAAAAAAGGGAATGATGATCATAGATATATAGTTGACCTGCTTGACTTTGTCAAAGTTTTATCTCATATTTGAATAGCACGAATATATTTGAGACAGTATTGACGATTCCTTTAAGACGAATTCTAAAAATACCAATAGTTTAAGCCCATAACATTTGTTAAATATCAGTGAAGTGTTGGTGAACTCAGTTGACAAACCGTTAACAATACAAAATGTACTTGTTTATTATGGTGTATTTGTCAACTAAGCAAATATTTGTATGCACTTACCCTACCAAGTCTAAATATAATATGACTTATTTGTATGTTTTTACGGACGTTTCCTCTATTCATGCACTAATTCGTATACCCTGCTGTATGATAATATTGAATAATACATTGACCAAAAGCTAACATATGTTTACAATTAAAACTTACTCTAGACTTCTTAAATGCAGCTACTGAACGTTGTTCATTCAATAATGCTTCACGCGTTCTATCTAAGCTTTGACGTAATAATTGAATTTCTGTTTCTTTCGAGCGTAATTCGTTAATGAATTGATCTAATTGTTCACCTTTTGCATCTGCCAATGCTTCAGCTTGTCTTAACGATAATAGAAATACACAAAATTGTTTGATTGATACAGCTAAAGTTTTGTAGAGATTGGCATAGTTATTATGTTGTATTTGTCAAAGATTGGCCTCAGTTTGGACGCCGGTGAAAAGCGGAGAGGACTACACAGCAATTTCCTCCCAGTATAACACTTCCCAAGAATATCATGAATAAAACAGCTATCATTGGTGGTCATTGGGTGACCTTCCTGACATCATCTGTTACGTTGACGTGGTGGTCAGGACTACCTATCGTGATGATTCAACCGGATTATACTGGACAGAACGCATGTTCCCTTAGTTCCTACCATGCGGAGAAGGTTGGTTGAAGAATATCTAGGCCAGAGGCAGCAACTTAATTTTCACTGGCGAAGTCACACAGCTGGCTGTAGAGGAGGGTGACGGTAGTAAGGTTTTTGCCTCGGACAACTAGCATCTACGAAAACGCTACATACTCAAATTCAAAGTAAGGGATTGAAGAAAGTCAAGCCTAAAATCTAACACTTGACATAACTTCAAGGATTTCTTTCTCCATCACTGAAGCTTATTGAAGTGCCGAGCTAACATATCAAAACTTCTCATAAAAAGGCTGTGCGCAACCAGCCTCAAGCAGTTGTTCTTTAGGGCTCTGCCGTCAACGGAGTATAAATCCAGGAGGCAACACGGAGCGCCGCCGTATATTTGTTGGATAGCGCAGATAACAAAGTTACAGCAGATAGGCTGGTGTGCGCGAATAAGCTTATAATCCCTGATCTCCAAACACTACTCTTTGAATTATTTGTTAGAGTTATTATTGTTTTAATCTTGTGTTAAATAGGATAACAGACTTCTTTAGCTAGAACTCCAGAATTTCAGGCCACCAACGCATTTTGAGTTCCCGAAATACACACACAGGATACAAATATAGTTATCCATTTGACCTCTCCTGTTAACGACACGATTTGCATTTGTGTATCCGGAAACGCCACTGCTAATTTCCGTCGCCTGATTTATGTATGTGTGGCATCAAGGTCATGACTAGATTTGTAAAGGCGGTCGATTGTACATTATCTGTAAGTAAATAAGGATTGGAAAGATAAGGAAACACGCCATTAGCTCTTCCTTGTGCCTGCCTATGCTATCACTGGTTTCACCTCAGACGAAGTTAGAGATGAACTGTTCAACGTCCTTTGAAAGGCTAAACGCTATTAGTAAATAATGACAAGTGATCTCAATTCTCAAATAAGTAGACTGAATCAAACCAAAAGGCAATTAGGGGGATTTCACGGTGTTGTGGCTCCAAAAACTGATAATGACGATCGTATGTTGCGACTAATTTTAGCAAACAGCAACTTTAAGAATGAAGAAAGACATCCGACAACCTCGCAATCACCACAACGACAGACTCAAAGAGACCATATGGTGTTCAACCATCATTGGTGAGGCTGAATTGAAAACTGTAGCTCAATGCAGAAAAATGTCTAGATTCTGGTTCTGCTTCAGTTCGAGCAAGTAATTTTTTGCATTTTACTGAACGTAGAAACCCACTTCAATAAAACCTTTTGATAATAATAGAGTTGGGTATATATGTCAGGAAAACCTAGAGAAGGAGGTAGCCAATCATGAAAGTGACATCCAGCCCGAAGTAGCATGGCATGATATTTTCAAAGCTATGGAAACAGCACTTATATTTTTCAGACACTTAAATCAAAACGTTAAAAAAACAGTGGATTTTAACGGCGTCTAGATAATTTACAGGTACTTGGAAACTCATCCTATACGGCTCCGAAGACGATGAAGAGCGAAGAAAGCTTGAATGCAGATCAATAAAAAGCCGACGCAGTGGTCGTAGACAGTAGTGGGCAAGAAGAGCGAGAGATGAAAAGACAGTGGTGTCAAATAGTAGTAGATAGCTGTCTATATTTATCAAGGAAACGCTTGTTCAAATTCCGGCTGTTAGTGAAACTATCTTGAAAAATGACGGAACTACTATTCATTTCCAATCTGGGAGATTAAATCAGTGGACAGAACACTTTAGCAAACTATAAACTGGCCTTCAGCCACACTTCAGTCGCCCATTATCTTCAAGCGACCTGGATGAAAAATTGATATGTCCTACAACTCTTAGGTTGAAAAAGCAATAATTCATCTAAAGCGAGGGATGACAACAGGAACTGAGGGACTAAGCCCTGTGATTTTTAAGGATGGTGGTCCAGTTTTGGCACTTAGATTAACTGAAAGTTTAGCTAAAGTTTGGAAAATGGACGCAATTCCATTTGACTCGTCTCGATCGTCAATCATCTAGATTTATAAGAAGGGACAAAACTCCACTTGTGAAGATCACAGAGGAGTTAGTTTAACTAATATAGTGTCTAAAGTATTATTCTCCGTAATACTTAGACGTCTGATTGGAGCTCGCGAAGAGCAAACCGAAGAAAATCAGGGTAGTTTCAGACCTGGACGTGGATGTACAGACCAAATACTCACCTTTCTGGAGATTTGGGAACATAGACATGCTTGACGACGTCCGACATTAGTTGCATTCATCAACCTTAAAGACGCTGCTCGACTCTGTTGATCGTAGGATTCTGGGCAGTGTCTGCTATTGAAAGGAGTATTGAAAATTTGCATTAACCTTGTACAGACTTTCTACTCGAACATTAATGATCAAATTAGAGCTCATGGAGAACTATCATTGAAACAGGTTTGTCAGGGTTGTCAATTCTACCCAGTTTTACTTAGCTTCTTCACAGATATGCTCTTAGTGAAAATACTTTTATCGTCTCACTTTTTAGGAGTTAGTCTTCTACTAAGAGATTCACTTGTTCTCTTAGAATTCACAGATGATATATTTTATCTTGGTCAGGAGAGTGACAAAATGCAGAATCTTCTGAACACCTTAAGCAACAATGCAAGCCGGCCTGGGATACCGTCCTTTTTTCACAAATGCAAAATGTTGCTTCAGGATTGGCTTGCGTCAGCGCTTGGATCAATGATCGGGAGTGAAGTGATTGAGTATGTCGACCATTTCAGTTGTCTTGGAAGGCTCACTAGTCTTCATGTTGTGGTGTCCGACGAAATTTCTGCACGTATTCTAAAGGTTCGGTTTGCTTTTGCTAAACTACATCATTGGTGGAATAGACGAGATATCAATCTGCTAACCGAAGGACGAGTTTGCTACGCATCAGCTTGCTCTGTCCTACTTTATGAGTGTGAAGCCTGGGTATCAAGAATGGACGATATTTGTAGACTACTAGTATTCGATCCAAGGTGTGTTGGAAGGGGTACTCATATATTTTAGGACCATCGAGTGGGCAATAAGTGGGATAGGAATAGAGTACCAGGTAAGATTGGCAAATCGATTATTGAGATATTAAATTTTCATGGTCAACCGAGGTGATTGAGCATTTATTACATATGCTAAACCACTACTTACCTTGATGGTCTATGTTGTCTGGTGTAGGGCTGATTGAAAGAAAGCTAGGGGTGGTTAAACCACAACACAGAATCAATTTATGCAGCTATTTACAACCCGAATGAGGCATGTTAGTGGGTGTGGACTATCTGGTTTGGATCCATGTGATTATCGTAATCAGTGGTTGGAGACAAAATTAAGTGACTCAGAATCGTTTGAAATAGCTCAGGTGCATCCACGTTTTGTTTCCCGTCAACTTCTGAGATTCTAAATCCCTTATAACATTTTTCGTGTTTTTCACTAGTTTATATTCTTTTGAGCCGTATCTTCAATGCCTTACCTTCTAAATCATCACCGGTACTGTTTCTACCCTTACAATCCTAGGGTTTGGCTTGACAATTGAATCTCGCTGTGATAATGGTGGGTTGTGGCAAATTGAACCTGTGTACATAAATACAACTTCTACTTCGTGAATGACACACTGATTGGGTGATCGCAGCATTAAATCGGTAGTCTAATACAGTTGGAATTAAACCACTAGACTATTACCCGTTCTAAAGGTTAACCGTTTGCCTCGAGACCTAACAGTCCTGGGTTCGATCCTTAATCGGATCATGGGTGAAAACTGATGGAGATGAAACAGCAACAAATTGTGTCCTATTACCTAGCTGGGAAGGGATTTTTTCTATTCTTATTTGCAATGAGCTATAAAACTCTAATTACAATATGGTCTTTAAGTTCAACTGTAAATTATTTATGCTTTTGAAGTAGAGTTACTGAATTCACGATTGATTGGTCACTGATTGGTGATCAATGTAATTTGTGTCAGGTCCTTTTTAGTGCAGAGCGACTACTACCGACCAAGTTGCAATGTGGATACTAGTCTAGGAGACTCGAAATTGCATGCACCATGTTGAGATAAGATGTTGGTTGTAAGTAGTCAATAGGAAACCCAGTAATCAATCAATTGTGAGTACATCTCGGTCCTACAGGAGATTAGTCGAGGTCCGGATAGCCCAATGCTAACGTCTGTAACTGTGAAGCTAAGTGATCATCAGCTCCCTCAAGACCACAGATGAACCTTCCTGACAAGTGCCAAAGTAGCACGAAACTTAGGTCCACGGTTTCCTGTTGACTTCCTTCAATCACCATCTTAGTTACTGAATTGTTTTACATAACTAATTATTAATAAAGTATGATAAACCGCTTACTTCAATCGACTCATATCACGTTCATATTCACTAAGTAAATTTTCTTTATGTTGAAATTGATTTTTTAATATTTCAATTCTTTGCGACAATAGTTCAATTGTCTTTTGGCGCTCTTTTCTAACTGTTTCTCTTTCTATTTTTGGTACTTGAATAAGTGATCTTTGACCTGGTAGTCTATCTAAATCTAAACGGTTTGATATTGATCGGGCTAGATTTAAATAACATTCTTCTGAAGTCTGTTAACAAAATCAAAAATAATTATGTAAAATCTGTCATTTATTGGTCTCATACATCATATGATATAAAACGTTAGTTGCTTAGGTGTGTACATTTTAAATGATTCAACCATGATACTCGACTATTTTCATTCAGTATTTAATGACTGAAAGCGGTTAACTACTTACCAATAAAGAAATGTATGATTTCAATCTAATTTTTTACAGATATTTGATATTACTCAGCTCTACTGTACTTCGATCAATAATACTGCTGTTCAGAATTTGTTATGCTAGTACTTTTCAGTCCACACAAAATTCTTGTCTTTTATCTTCAATAAGAATACGAGGAATGATTAAATGCATAAATTACAGGATCGCAGTACACCATGAATAGAAATTAGCCTTATTACGATATTTATGGTATATCGCTTAATATGAGATTTATGATTAGACTTACATATCAACCAACTAAATTTGAACATGTACATGATCTCATCAATGTATTTTGTTGAAATAACCAGAAACAATATTTCTCATTAAGTATACCACATCTAGAAGAGTTAATAAGGTGTAGGTAACTTCACAACAGAGTAAAACAGTGTCTTTTTTGAAGAACAAATATGTGAATAAAGGTGGTTTTGTGCTCAGTGAGACTTCAGTGATATGTTTACCGAGGTGATATATTAATTACAATGGCTTCCAAAGTGCTAACAAGATGTTCATAATTCAGTATTTACATACGATAAATTTAGTATTCTAAGGACTTATATAAACGTTCAGTAGCTAAAAATATAGAGAGCAGAGACAATTATTTCACATAACATATTACCATATCTATTTATTGTAAGTGAATAATAAATGATCTGTAAGAGATTCTATCATCCCCTAGTTGAAATTTGAGTATGTGTTTTAAACAATCTTTGTTGATATATGTGAATCCTGATTGACAGATGAGAGTACCCCCAGTTGACAAGCCAAAAATCAGAATAAAAGCGTTTTATAGGCTCCACTTTCGATTAATACCTTTTCGTCAAGGCTTATAATGGTAATAACTCCGCCTATAGCTCTTTTAGAGTTACTTCCGGTCCCAAGCCTGGCTAAAGGAGGAGAGTTGAGCATGAGTTTAGCGTCCCCATCCCGTAGAAAAATAACTTGCTAAAAAAACTCTGGTCAGAAAAAATATTTCAAACCATTTAAACTCTGCCCTGGGAGTTAGAAGGTCTTCATTTAGAAGAACTATGACGCCTCATGATGTAAACCGAGTTCCTTAGGAATCCACGAGGCCGATGCCTTTTCTGACAACCAGAGCAACAATTTTTATACGTACATGGAACGTCCGGACAATATGGGAGACCGGAAAGACCAGTCAAAGTAGCAACGGCCACAAACAGGATAATATTCTACACCCTCAGGGAGTTGCTCTAATGCTGTCCAAAGTAGCACGAAATGCACTTGTAGGATGGGAATCCCACGGATCCAGAATCATCAAAGCATCATTCAAAGCAAAGAAGGAGGGGATTTTAATAAATATTATTCAATGTTATGCACCCATCAATGATAGCAACGACGACATTAAAGATCAGTTCTACGAGCGGCTGCAGTCAATCATAGAGAAGTGCTCAAGAAACGACCTCACCATTCTAATGGGAGATCTAAATGCCAAAGCGGGAATAGACAGCACTGGATATGAGGATATTATGGGACGACATGGACTGAGAGAAAGAAACGAAAATGGAGAAAGATTTGCAAATCTATGTGCATTCAACAAATTGGTCATAGGAGGCACAATATTTCCACACAAGCGTAAACACAAGGCTACATGGATCTCACCAGACCACACTACAGAGAACCAAATAGATCATATTTGCATCAACAAAAATTCCGAAGGACAATAGAAGATGTGAGAACCAGGAGAGGTGCTGACGTAGCTTCAGATCACCACCTAGTTGTAGCCAATTTAAAACTGAAGCTAAAAAAGAACTGGACAAGTGGACAAACAGCACTACAAAGGTTCAATACAGCCTTCCTTCGAGATACTGACAAACTCAATGAATTCAAGATAGCTCTCAACAACAGGTTCAAAGCCATAAAAGATCTACTGAAGGAAGAAGAAACTACTATGGAGGACAACTGAAAAAGTATCAAAGAAGCATTGACTTCAACGTGTCAAGAGGTTCTGGGCCTCAAGGAGCATCACCATAAGCAATGTACCTCTATAGAAATACTGGATAGGATCAAAGAAAGGAAGAACGAGAAGGCAGCAATTAACAACAGCCAAACATGAGCACAGAAATTCCGAGCAAAAGCTGAGTACACAACCAGAAATACGTGCCAGAACTAGCAAAAATGATGTAAAATGCTGCAAGAGAAGGAAATATGAAACAACTTTACGAGACAACGATGAAACTAGCAGGGAAATACAGTAAACTAGAGAGACCGGTCAAAAACAAAGAAGGCAGGTCAATCACCGAAATTCAACAACAACGAAACAGATAGGTAGAGTACTTTGAGGAACTTTTGAATAGGCCGGCTCCAATGAATCCACAGGACATAGAAACAACACACATAGATCTTCCTATAGATGTCAACCCACCAACGACGGAAGAAATTAGGATGGCCGTCAGACAAATCAAGAACGGGAAAGCAGCAGGACCCGACAACATACCAGCTGAAGCACTGAAATCAGACATCGAAGCAACCACAAGCATGCTTTACCTTCTAATCAAAAAGATTTGGGAGGAGGAACAAGTGCCAATGGACTGAAAAGAAGGACACCTCGTCAAGATTCCAAAGAAAGGAGATCTGAGCAAATGTGAAAACTACAGAGGCATTACACTACTGTCAGTAACAGGGAAAGTCTTTAACAGAGTGTTGCTAAACCGGATGAAGGATGCAGTAGACGCCCAACTTCGAGATCAACAAGCTGGATTCCGTAAGGATCGGTCGTGCACAGACCAAATTGCAACACTACGGATCATCGTCGAACAATCAGTTGAGTGGAACTCGTCACTATACATCAACTTCATTGATTATGAAAAGGCATTCGACAGTGTAGATAAGAGAATGTTATGGAAACTTTTTCGGCACTACGGAGTTCCTGAGGTGATTGTCAACAATATTATCCGGAAATCACACGACGGACTACAATGCAAAGTAGTGCATGGAGGACAGCTGACAGATGCATTTCAAGTAAGGACCGGAGTCAGACAAGGCTGTTTACTCTCTCTGTTATATCCGGTGAAGATTAAACTACAGGTAAATTCCAAGGACTATTCATGGACTAATATTCTATAAATATTCTTATTGTATAACTACTCAACAATTACACTATGGATATTTATATTCCTTTTATGATAAGCTTTATTTTGACCTATAATTTATTATTGTACGATTTACGGTTCTTAAGTTATGTTCAGTTTATTAATTACTGCCTCCCACATTCACAGCCACTTTTTGGGCTTATTTGTGTACAAATATTATTTCCTATTTTATGGTACGTTGCGGTCTGTATGATTGATATATAAACCAAGTATGCCTGAAATAAACGATCTGCTCTGATTCGGAAGCTGGTATCTTGTTCTGTACTCAAGTGGAAGGGCTCGTAGGACATAGGACCAATAAGGACGCTAAACTGCCCACACCGGTTGAACGTCATTGGTTGGCCTAGTGTGAAGATTCGTATAAGTCGTATCCGGATTGGTAGATAAATCGCGTGATAGAAAAATCAGACATCCAAGGTCATAACAATTGGCGACGGGGATTTTGGCAAAAACAAGGCCATAACAATTGGCGACGGGGATTTTGGCAACAAAGAAATAATAATAATACAAGTGGTGACTCAGATTTTGGAAATAAATTAGCTGTAATAATTGCCGGTGATTTTTGGATTAATATTATTATTAGCAGTAAAAAAAAAAAATGTCAGATTCTTCAGAACAATTGCAGTTATTATTACAGCAGCAGCATCAAATGTTAGCTTCGCAACAACAACTATTGGAGGCACTTTTGGGTAAACTATCTATTCAACAAGGTAATCCAGATTATAGAAGTATAGAATCATATCTCAATCCAATTCCAGAATTTATATTTGATGCAGACAGCGGTCACACTTTTGAAGCATGGTTCGGCAGAGTAGAAGATATTTTTCGAGTAGAATTTGCTACTATGGATGATGCAAAGAAAGTCCGGCTGCTATTACAGAAACTTGGTCCTAATGAGCATCAAAAGTATAAAAACCATATTCTGCCTAAACATCCGCGAGAAGTTAATTTCGATGAAACTGTTAACATCCTAAATAAAATGTTTTGTGAACAGGCGTCTTTATTCCGTATCCGGTATAACTGTCTACAGCTGACTAAAGAGGCTGATGAAGATTATACTACGTACGCCGGAAGAGTAAATTTACAAGCAGAACGATTTAAATTAAATGTATTAACCAGTGATCAATTTAAATGCTTATTATTCATTTCTGGTCTGAACTCTCCTGTTGATGCTGACTTTCGCATGAAGTTGTTATCCCGTATGGAACATGATGATGAAATGACGTTACAAACTATCACCACTGAATGTCAACGATTAATAAACCTAAAACAAGATACAGCTATGCTGGAAACCAAAAGTGTTGTGCCCTCAAATTCTGTTCATGCTGTTAAGACAGGTCAAAGACAAAATAGTACCAAAAGTCATAAATATCACTCGAAAGCTCCTAAACCTGCAACTAAATGTTGGTATTGTGGTGCATGGCATTTCTCAAGATTTTGCCGGTTTAGAAATCATAGATGCACTATATGCAATAAAGTTGGCCACAAAGAATTAGTCTGCCGAACTAGAGAAAGTTTAAGATCAAAACGAACCAGACGTCCGCACCAGTACGAAAATAAGTATATAAACAGCGTATATTCTACACTGGCTCTAAGCGTAGCGAATAAAAGAAGATATGTGGAATTAATTGTTAATGGTGTTTATATTCGATTGCAATTGGACACAGCGTCAGATATCACACTAATCTCGAAACGAACGTGGTATTTAATTGGGTGTCCGAAAGTATTACCAACAGAGCACACTGCACGGAATGCGTCCGGAGATATATTGAAACTTGTGGGAATGATAAAATGCTCTGTTAAATTCCGAGGTAATTACTTTACAGGAAATTGCTACTTAACGAACAGACATGAGTTAGACCTTATTGGTATAGACTGGATAGATAAACTAAATTTATGGGATGTACCATTAAATGAAATATGCACAATGAAAGGCGCAAATAATCCTAGAGATCCACCCGCAGTTCATGTAACCAAGAAAGTCGTAACGATAGAAGATCTTTTGCAGAAACATAAAAACTTGTTCCAGAATAAATTGGGATGCTGCACAATTGAGAAGGCAAAATTATACCTACGACAGGATGTAAAACCTGTTTTCCGTCCAAAGCGTCAAGTTCCATATGCAGCTATTGACAAAGTCGACAAAGAATTAGACCGACTAGAGAAACTCGGTGTTATACAACCTGTTAATTATTCGGCATGGGCAGCACCAATTGTAGTAGTTCAGAAAGCGAGCGGAGCTATTCGCCTTTGTGCAGACTTTTCAACAGGATTAAATGACGTTTTACAAAATCATTCATATCCATTACCTTTGCCAGAGGATTTATTTATTAAACTAAACGGTGGACGTTATTTTTCTAAACTTGATTTGTCTGAAGCTTACTTACAGGTGGAAGTTGACGAAGATTCAAAGGAGTTATTAACCATTAATACCCACCGTGGACTTTATCGATTTAACCGATTACCGTTTGGTGTTAAGCCAGCTCCAGCAATTTTCCAGCAGATAATGGATACTATGGTGTCTAACATCGAAGGTGTAGCAGTTTATTTGGATGATATTATAGTTGTTGGCTCTTCCGCGCAGGAATTAATGCGTCGGTTAGATGTGGTGCTCACTAAAATATCACAAGCTGGGTTTCAGTTACAAAAAGAAAAGTGTGAATTTCTGCTCGAGTCTGTTAAATACCTGGGATATATATTTGATAAAGATGGTCGTCGACCGGATCCAGACAATATAAATGCTATCAAAAATATGCCCAGACCGACTGAGGTTACAACCCTTCGTTCATTCTTGGGGATGATTGGTTATTATAGTATGTTCGTACCCCAGATGTATAAATTGCGACAACCATTAAATCAGCTCTTGATGGCTAATACAACATGGCACTGGACAAAAGAATGCCAAGATTCTTTCGATGAAATAAAAAGGATTTTATCTTCTAAACTGTTGCTGACTCATTATAATCCAAAGCTTGAAATAATTGTAGCCGCCGATGCTTCAAACTATGGAATTGGAGCCGTTATCAGTCATCGTTTTCCTGATGGTAAAGAAAAGCCAATTGCTCATGCATCCCGAACTCTTAACTCAGCCGAACGAAAATATAGTCAGATTGAGAAGGAAGGATTAGCTTTAGTTTTTGCAGTAAAGAAATTTCATAAAATGATTTATGGTCGTCGATTTACGCTTTTAACAGACCACAAGCCGCTTTTATCTATATTTGGATCAAAGTCAGGTATTCCTGCTTATACAGCGAATCGGTTACAACGCTGGGCTATTACGTTGCTTGCTTATGATTTCCAAATCCTATATAAATCAACTGAAAAGTTTGGACAAGCTGATGCTTTATCTAGATTAATTGCTAATCAGAAGCAGAAAAGTGAAGATTCTATTATTGCAACGATATCGTTGGAGAATGATGTTCACCATATACTACAAGTTGCCATAAAAGCAACACCGTTATCCTGTGAAGACATTAAACGTTATACTCAAGAAGATGATGAATTGAAGCAGATTATTAGATACCTCGAACATGGTTGGCCTGCCCATATAGACGACAAAAATATTGAACAGTATTCCCACCGTCGGAATTCCCTATCACTTGTGGATGGATGCTTGATGTTTGGGAATCGAGTAATCGTACCCATAAATTTACGCCGTAAGGTGATGTCACAACTGCATGCCGCACACCCAGGGGTAGCAAGGATGAAGGCACTTGCACGTGGATATGTATATTGGCCGAATATTGACGCTCAGATCAAAGAATATGTTGAGACATGTTCTGCGTGTGCAAAAGCTATCAAAGCCCCTCGTAAGACAGAAATGCAGAGTTGGGGGACACCAACAAATCCATGGTCAAGAGTACACGTAGATTTCGCCGGTCCCATAAACGGAAAACAGTACTTAGTGATGGTTGATGCTTTCTCAAAATGGCCAGAAATCCACTACGTAAAGTCTCTTTCTACAAAAGCTACTATTGAAAAACTGAGACAAGTATTTAGCTGCTTTGGGTGTCCAGATGTATTAGTATCTGATAATGGGCCACAGTTCACCTCCGCTGAATTCTCGAAGTTCTGCGTCGCCAACGCTGTTAGGCATATAAAGACACCCCCATATCATCCACAGTCAAACGGTCTAGTCGAGAGGTTCGTAGATACATTTAAAAGAGCACTACTTAAAGCCGAGGGAGAAGGTGAAATAGACGAGATGATTCAAAGATTTCTACAGACATACCGAGCAACACCAAACCCAACAACAAATAATCAAGAAAGCCCAGCAGAAGCAATTTTTGGGAGAAAGATTAGAATACCTATGGAGCAAATGAAACCAAAGCTTAGAGCCAACCTCCGAAAGAACAAACGAATGGAACAGCAATTCAACAAGCGGCACGGTGCATTGCCCAGAAGGTTTAAGGTGGGACAAGCGGTAATAACAAGAGATTTCACGGGAGTAAAGCCAACTTGGAAGTTTGGCATAATAATACGAAAAAAAGGGAAAGTTATCTACGAAGTAAAAGTTGGAAAAAAGATATGGGTGAGACATGCAAACCAGATACAGCCAACCAGACAAGAACGAGAGACAGAAATGCTACAAAGTCGAATATACCAATAGATATATTAACTGAGTCGAATAATGAAATTAAAAATGATCCGAATAATAACGAGACGTGTGAAACACTCCCAAGGAGGTCGCAGCGCATCAGACGAAAACCCAATCGAATAAAAATAAATCCTAAGGATCATTATTATCTCTAATGCTTCAAAAAAGGGGAGGTGTTATATCCGGTGAAGATTAAACTACAGGTAAATTCCAAGGACTATTCATGGACTAATATTCTATAAATATTCTTATTGTATAACTACTCAACAATTACACTATGGATATTTATATTCCTTTTATGATAAGCTTTATTTTGACCTATAATTTATTATTGTACGATTTACGGTTCTTAAGTTATGTTCAGTTTATTAACTACTGCCTCCCACATTCACAGCCACTTTTTGGCTTATTTGTGTACAAATATTATTTCCTATTTTATGGTACGTTGCGGTCTGTATGATTGATATATAAACCAAGTATGCCTGAAATAAACGATCTGCTCTGATTCGGAAGCTGGTATCTTGTTCTGTACTCAAGTGGAAGGGCTCGTAGGACATAGGACCAATAAGGACGCTAAACTGCCCACACCGGTTGAACGTCATTGGTTGGCCTAGTGTGAAGATTCGTATAAGTCGTATCCGGATTGGTAGATAAATCGCGTGATAGAAAAATCAGACATCCAAGGTCATAACACTCTCCCTTCCTCTTTCTTCTGGTGGTCGACTGGATTATTAAGACCTCAACATCTGAAGGAAAACACGGAATACAATGGACAGCTCAGAACCAATTAGACGATTTGGACTTCGCAGACGACCTGGCCCTCCTATCACGTACACACGAACAGATGCAGACAAAGACAGCCAGTGTAGCAGCAGTCTCTGCATCAGTAGGCCTCAGTATACACAGTGGAAAAACCAAGGTCATCAAATTCAACACGGAGAACAGTAGTATAATCACACTCGATGGCGAAACTCTGGAAGATGTAGAATCCTTCACATACCTGGGAAGCATCATCGATGAACAAGGAGGCTCAGATGCAGACGTAAAGGCGAGTATTGGCAAAGCAATAGCCTCATTCCTACAATTGAAGAACATGTGGAACCCAAAACAAATTTCAACCAATATCAAAGTGAGAATCTTCAATACGAATGTCAAGGCAGTTCTAATGAACGGAGCTGAAACTTCGAGAACTACTACAACCACCATCAAGGAGGTACAAGTAATTAAAAATAGTTGTCTATACAAGATACTTAACATCCATTAGTCAGATACCATGAGGAACAGCCTACTGTGGCAGAGAGTAAACCAACTTCCAGCTGAAGAGGAAATTAGAAAAAACGATGGAAATGGATAGGACATACATTACGCAAATCGTCAAACTGCATCACGAGGCAATCGCTAACTTGGAATCTTGGAGAGCAGCAAAAAAGTGGAATGCCGAGGAACACATTACGTCGGGAAATCGAAGCAGATATGAAAAGGATGAATAACAAATGGAGGAAGCTAGAAAGTATTGCCCAGGACAGGGTTGGATGGAGAATGCTAGTGAGCGGCTTATGCTCCTTCACGAGGAGTAACAGGCGTAAGTAAGTAAGTAAGTTATAATGGTAATAATTTCGTAAACAACACCTTCGCGTGGAGACAGTGATTAGGACTTCCCTGGTAGTGGTCGTATGCATGTGGCCAATTGAGAGCACTTCGAGAAGGAGAGTTGATTTTCCCTACTCTCGGCCATACCAGGGTATTTGGAGTTTGGATTCAATGGTTTAAGTGTTCACTTCTGAACGGTTAACACTCTTCAAAGTGAACAAACTTTAAAAGCCTCCGCTAATCATAATGATTTGTTACACAATGAATTAAAAAACAAAACTAACGTATAAAGCATCCATTGCATTTCTCAAACCAATATGATCCATGTTTGGTGATTTTTGACCAGTCACTTGATCATCATCACCATTCTTGACGTCACTCAATACAAGAGTAGAATTATTTGTTAATGCTTTTATTGATGGTACTACTTCAGCAAGTAGTGCTTTGCTACGTAATTCAGCATTTTCACGTTTAAGTTTAGAAATTTGAAGGATTAATTCATCACTTTCTGTATTACCTGTAAATTTAAATAATAGTAATAACTTGAGTAAAATCTCTCAACAATTTTACCATTTATGAATCCCTACATATTTTGTTTTATTTAACACATAAATGTTGGTACAAGTAGACACCAGATAGATATGTGTCACATAAATCATTCGGTTTATATGAGTGCTGGAATACTGCCCGGGTGCTCAGACCGAACAAGGTGGTTTTCTTAGAGGGACACACTTGAAGCCTTTGACCTAAAGGTATAATCTGCAAGGCAGTAGTGAAACCTAAGGAGATGCAGTCCCATGGTAGTCCGTGACTAACAATAGGCTCATACGCGATTTGTTTCCTTAGGATGCTGGAGCCCATGTGCATCATTGGTTTGGAATCAGGGTTTTCCAACTTACCTTAATGGATCCTCCGTGTCCATCAACCCGGTTAACGCGCCGAACATTCACTTTTCGTCATCTCAATTCCGTAGAAATCACCCCAGCTGCGAGAAGGCAGTGAGTAGGACTTCCCTGTCAATGGTTGTATGTATATGGCAATGTAAGAGCATTTCCGGTGATGACACTACCCATTCTCGGCCATACCAGGACATTTGGTGGCAACAATGTTACGATTATTAAATCCCTATATATTACAGATTATTCAATGCTGTGCCGCATAACTTTTTCCTGGACCTCTGAAAAAAAGTTTCGTCTAGTAACCTAGAGTATTGAAGACAATTATTATGGTAAATGATAAATGTTTTGATATTATTATCACTGTAGCTGTCGACAGACATTTGAAATTTTGTGAACAACTAGGTGTTCGTTTATCAGATATAAAATATCGACTTCATTTACATCTTTATCATTCGGCGAAAGAAATTCAGATACATTAGAATCTATGTACACCAGCAAAAGTACAAAAGGTCTATAATAAATCGAACAGGTTTTAAGGGCTCACCTAACCTGTTGTATAAATACTCACTTCATTATAAGGGTTTCATTAGACATTTTCTACAATTTTATTTGCATATTTCATGTAAATGGTATATATACGTATCTTTTTGTGAAATATGAGAAGACTAAGAAGATAAGATGGTGGTTGGAGATAGTCAACAGGAAACCATGAACCCAGCTTTCGTGATACTTGGCACTCGTCAACAAGGCGTTTCTGTAATCTTGAGGGAACTGATGCTCCCTGACGGACTTGATCCCGTGTCCCCGAGCTTCACAGTTGGAGACGTTAGCACTGGGCTATCCGGGCCTCGACTAACCTTCTGTAGGACTGAGATGCATTCACAATTGACTAACCACTGGGTGGTGATCAACGTCATGTGTTCGGTCCTTCTTAGTGTAGATCAAATGCTATCGATCAAGTTGCAATGTGACCATTAGTCTAGTGGACGAATTGCAGGTATGCAACATTTCAGGTATATCCTACTGACGAGCATCAAATTGCACTAAACCTGTGCCCAGGTTGATCAGTTGTGAAAGACTAAGAAGAACTTATTGAAATACTGTACTATATACTGAAAATTCCGTATTTAATATTGAATCTTTTGAGCAAACTACAATGTAAGTTTAGTAATTATCTTTTGTAAATGATAAAATGAATTTCTGTAATTTTAACTACGGCCACCATTGAAAACCTGGATGCATTGGACGGCCATTTCATCCTAGTATGAAACTTGTCAGAAGTACGAATCCACAATCCTGAATTCAACAGTCGAACCCAGAATCGCCGGCCTCGCGCGTGACCGCCTAACTTTTAGACCACTGAGTCGGCATTTCATCAGGTATGAGACAGTTATCCACTGGGGATACTGCAAGGTGGTCACAATATCGTAGATTGGTCAAAGTTAAACCACTGACTCAATGGTGTATCCAGGTTTTCATTGATGGTCTAGTTTAGATCAACCCATAAATTCAACTTCAAAAAACTAACCTTTTGGTGATATATACATATATTGATCACGTAATCGTTGTCTTAATTGACTTAATGCTTCTCTTTGTTTATCAATAATTTCATGATGTCTTTCACCTTTACATTCATTGCCCAAATTAATTAATTCTTGTGTCAATCTAGATGATGCATTGATAGGTTCATTATGATGATGATGAGCTAACTTCTCTCTTTCATCATTTATAGTCTCTTGTAAATGTTTTATTTTATATTCATATTCATGTTTAGAATTAGTTAATTCTTGAATTGTAATTTGTAGTCTTCTAAATACATTAAAAAAATCAAAATCATGTAGACACATTATAAAGCTGAATCTCTTTTTAAATATGTTATTGAAAATGAGATGGTGGAGAAGATTTGCAGCTCAGGTGGGTGATTTTGGTGGAGTTTTGTTCTCTGAGCTGGGTGGTTTGGTCGTGGAGCTTTCATCGTTCTTCTGAACGACATCATCATCAGCACAAACTTCAGATAGAAATGAAGTGTTCGAATTTCTCCATATGCATTTCACAGCTTGTTCTGTACACCTCAATGTTGATTGGTTCTTATTGACCTTAAATTTGTCATTGTTTACTTCTTTGTTTTGGTTGTGTCTCCCATTGGTTTGATTTTGTTCCTATATTTGTGCATGATTTTCCTGATTGGTTGGTAAATTGGATTGATTTAAATATGCTTGTTGATTGCTGATTGACCTGAGTGCCAGATTTCCAAGCCTGGTTAAGGGTCAACAATCACCACTCAACATCTAGGTCGACAGGACAAGCTGTGAAACGCATATGGAGAAATTCGAACACTTCATTTCTATCTGAAGTTTGTGCTGATGATGATGTCGTTCAGAAGAACGATGAAAGCTCCACGACCAAACCATCCAGCTCAGAGAACAAAACCCAACCAAAGTCATTGAAAACGTAATAAATATGCTTAATCAAATGACATAATCGAAAGATATCGATTTTAGAACATTACAATTGAAATATCTAAAAGATGAACAAGAAAGAAGATTTCAATAGTTGAGATCATGAGTCAATTGAAGTTGGACCACCATGGCAAACCCTGGAAGCACTGAATGGCCGTTTCGTCCTATTGTGGGGCTCCACAGCAGTGCGCGTCCTCGACTTCGCCTCGCGAGATTCGAACTCAGAACCTATCAGTCTCACACGCGAGCACTTATCCACTATACCATTTATCTTAGTTTAAGATTATTCTTCAGTTAATATGAAATGTTACGAAGGAAATCTTTAGAGTAATTTTGCATTCTTCAACGAAGAACTATTGGATACCAAATTGAACACAAAATTAAAACCATGAGATGAAAAACTATGTACTCACTATCATCTTTTTAGATAAATCGTAGTGTATTCAATTATGATTCAATGACTCGATGTGATTAACATGAATCAAGCCATAGGTGTAGAGTTTCATTGTCTCTGAGCTGACAGGTTTAATTGTGAAGCCTTTATCATACTTTTAGACAAAAGCCTTAGCACGAACTTCAAACTTATATCTGAAGTATGTTACTTACTTACTTACTCACACCTGTTAACTCTCAAGGAGGTGCACAGGCCACTCACGAGCATTCTCCATCCAGCCCTGTCCTGTTACATCTTTTCCAGTTCTTTTCAGTTATTATTCATCCTTTTTATGTCTACTTCCAGTTTCCGATGAAGTGTGTTTTTAGTTCTTACTGTTTTTCGTTTCCCTTCAGGATCCCATGTTAGTACTTGCCTCGGGATTCGATTTGATGATTTCCTCAATACGTGTCCTATCCACTTACGACGTCTTTTTCTCATTTTTTCATCATCTTTATTTCCTCTTCAGTTGGAAGCTGGTTTGTTCTCTCCCACAAAAGGCTATTGCTGATGGTATCTGGCCAATGAACATTCAGTATCTTGTGTAGACAGCTATTTATAAATACTTGCACCTTTTTGATGATGGTTGATTCTCGAAGCTTCAGCTTCGTACAGTAGAACTGCCTTGACATTCGTATTGAAGATCCTCACCTCGATATTGGTTGAAAGTTGTTTTGAGTTCCATATGTTCTTCAATTGTAGGAATGCAGCCCTTGCTTTGCAAATCCTCGTCTTTATGTCTGCATTTAAACCTACTTGTTCATCGATGATGCTTCCCAGGTATGTGAAAGATTACACATCTTCCAGCGTTTCTCCATCAAATGTGATTGTGTTGGTGTTCTCCGTTTCGTATTTGATTACCTTGGTTTTCCCATTGTGTATGCTGAAGCCTACTGATGCTAAGATTGCTGTTACACTTGTTTCTTTATCTGCATTTGTTGATGTGTATAGAATATAATGAAGTCAACTGTGAAGTCCAAATCTTATATATGATTCTGAGCCGTCCATTATATTCCGTGTTTTCTCTCAGACGTCGAGATTTTATAATCCAGTCGACCACCAGAAGAAAATGAAACGGAGGAAGTAAGCAACCTTTTCTGACTCCGGTCCTTACTTAGGATGCATCTGTCGCTTTTCTAAAACTATTGCCGGTCCCAATCCCGAGTAAAGGAGGAGGATTGGGTATGAGATCAGCAAACTTATCCTGTAGAAAAAAATGCCGCCAAACGAAATCGCTAACCAAAATAAACGAAAAAAACAGCCTAAAGTATGTGAATCAATCAAATTTCTTTTTATAACTTATCAATCTTAACGCGATGGCGTTTGAATCGAACTGTACTGGGTTTGAGTCCCAGAGTGAACAACAACTTTGCGATGCAGGCACATCCGGCTGACAAGTCCCAAATAGGATGAAACGCGCGTCAAACTAGATTCCACTGCTAGCCACTATCCATCATTGCTTACAAATAGCTTGTGAATTCAGGCAATATCGAGGCATACGCACAGTATGCACATATGCCAATAACAGACTGATCAATTGCAGTGTTAAACCTCAATGGGAAGGTACAAGTAAAAGACAATATCAAGTGAATTCAAATTCACCCCATTGCACAAGCAAGTGGCTATGAGAACTCAGTAGCTGAGTGGATCACGCGATGGCGTTTGAAGCAAACGGTACTGGGTTTGAGTCGCAGAGTGAACATCAACTCTGAGATGCAGGTACACCCAGCTGACAAGTCCCAAATAGGACGACATGCGCGTCCTGGATTCCACTGCTAAACACTCTCCAGCTTAAGACTTAAGGCTATATCGAGGCAATCCGCACACGATGCACATATCCCAATAACAGACTGATCAATTGTAGTCCTGTATCTCAATAAAAAGATTCAAGTGAATTTAAAAAAGTTAAACATTAAAAGGAAATGATCATAGTTATTCACTTACTTTATATGTTCGTCTTTTTCATATAATTTTTCATTCATTTGCTCTAATGAATCTTTCAAATTAACTAATTGTGTTTTAGTATTACATAATTCTTGATTTATTTTTTTATTATCATTTAATGCATTTTCAATTTCTTCTTTTTGTATTTCAGGTAATTCACCTTTTATATCACTTAATTGAGCTTGTGTACCTTGTAAATCAGAACGTAATACTTCTATAGTTGATGTTTGATCTTTAATTATATTTTGTAATTGAATTATTTCAAGTCTATTAAGATAAAATGAAAATTTGGATGGCAACTAATTGCTTGATACCAAAAAAAAAATGGTAACAACAAACATTAGGATAACCGGTAAAAATGATGAAGGAATTCATAGGTTAATTCTTTTATAGGTTAAATTTAGATTTAGCCTACTAGTTGTTGGGGAGATCCAGAAAACTCCCCCCCCCAAAAAAAAAGCCATGACAGGCTCTGGAAACACTGAGAAGCATTTTATCCAATCAGCGTTCAATAGAAGTTTTGCCAGAAACATCAAGAAACTGAAAAGTTACATGTAGAGTTTCTCATTACATGATTACTTCTACTGCTATCATGTTTAGTAGCATTCCAGAATTTTCGGGAAACCTAAGGACATCTAAAATATTATAAAAACCCTAAATGTTTTGTACATAAATGAACCTTTTCTGTTCAGTCTAGTGGTATTTATGTTTTTGCTTCTAGATCACACTATATATGAGAAGGTAAGCTGTATTATCAGGCTGTCGAAACTACATCAAATAGTGTTAGGTTCTAACTCTCAAGGAATGAAATTGACAATAAATACAAGTAAAGAAGGGGAGTTATTATCAGTTACAACGACAACAGATAGAATTGAAGAATGGATGTTAGAGACTGAACATAACTTTGTCAATGTGAGCAACTTGTGATCCTACTGCATAACATTCTCTTAACCTTTAATACCAATCTTATGAATGCCCCAAACAGAAATTATAAACGTACCGACTTGACAAAGACTAGAGGTTCATAGATTTATGAAATAAAGCCAAGTTTTAATCTGTTCACCATTAATATTTTTCTAAACAAATTCTATATTTGCCATATTTCTCATCTTACTTGATGATGGTATAAAATACATACAATGTTCACATAAAAAATAAATAGGCCGAATGGTTTAGTCATTCAGAAATCAAGACTTGTAAGGTATATGAATTCATTAATTCTATTAAGCGTGACTATAATTTATGGACGAGTCAATCAGAAGCATTTGAGGGATTTCAAGGTCACAGCGCCAATTTCAGTATCTGATGCTCATGTACGATCAATGATTGGAGAGCAAACCGATGCCTACATAGACTTGACTATGTGCATCGTGTCGTTATCCACATACGGCATTTTGTGAACCCAACAATCGGAATGCACATAAACAATATTGAAAGTATGTGGTCGAGGTTGAAAGAGTTTTTCCGATCTTATCATGGTTCCAGAGGTCGATTATTATTTAACCATATAGGTGACTTCCTCTACTGTAGGCATTACGATTCCAGAACTACCGAACCTCTTTCAAATCTTAACAAGTTTTCGAACTATGTAAAAGAAGTACATCCACTTTAGTTTTTTGTTTTTGTATAATATACTCTTACTTTATCCTGTTTTTTGATTGGCTAATACTTTTCAAGGTCATTTAAGACTCATTTGAAGGTCGTCCATGAATTAAAGTCTCGCCTAATTATTATTATTAATGTTTCGTTAACTTACTTTAAATTATCAACCAATTTCGGATTAGTATTATCATCAATAGATGAATATGCAGAAGAATGTTTATTTGTATCATCATTATGACGTGCTGATGTTTTAGTTCGTAAAGATTGAAGACGATTATGAGCGTCTGTTAAACGAGTTTGTAATTGTTTATTTTCACTTTGTAAATCTACAATTAGAAATCGAAAATTTTCAATAAAATGTAGTTTATACAAATGAATTTTATGATAATACTCATTTAATTAGGGGCAGACAAACCAAAACGTGGCATCAGTCCTTGTGGTCAATGACTTCTGGTTTGAACCATGTTGCTTGATGCAGACTAATTGGTTGGGGGCCGCGTGACCATCATAACCAATGGTTGGAGATTCTGCGTGACATGTCTCAGAATCGATCACAATGGCTTAGGTGTATACACTCTTTGTCTTCCTTTAAACCATGTGATTAAAATCGCTTCATATTTTTCTTTCTACGAACTGATTCTTTCTTCCTGTACTATATCCTAATATGCAGTCTTTCTTTTATATATTACCACCACTGAACTAATTACTTCTATGAATTTGGTGTTTATCTTGTTGTGCTAATGAGGTATGGCAACTTGGACCGATCCACATATGCGCCTGACTCTACGTTGTAGCTGACTGACTGACTGATTCATTTTAACGTGACTGTCGGTATAGTTTGATGGTGTTCAATTTTTGTCTTATTTTCGATTGAAAATGAATCGTTGCTCTATGTACAGTTATCCTTATGAATTCGTTTATTTAGGTTTGATTCACTTATTCACCAATGTATGATAACAGTGATGTGACTATAACTTATGAAGTAACACATATATAAATAGGATTACACTGGTATAGTATTTTGAATAGGACTGAGTTGCGTATGATTTTAAGTTTGTTTTTATCGTGAATAAGTATTTGATAGAAAGCTGTTCACAATAAGGAGATTGCTTTCATCTTGATTTAACTGTGACTAAATACTCTCATCCATGACATATACTAAAATAACACTTAAGTTTATATCATGGACAGATGTTGTTTAAGAAACCATAAAAAACCAAGAATCACTGGACAGCTGTTTTTCCTACGTTTGGGACACTCGACAGTATGTATCCACGACACGATCGAACTCAGGACAAAGACCAGACATGATAAAAACTATGGAATTCAACGATTTCCATAAACCTCTGTCATGGTAAAATGTAACTGATCTATATTTCATAGAGAGCAAATAATCATTCATGGTAAACAGAACATATTATTATCATCATAACAACTATGATACAACAGTCCTTATCTTGAATTCACTTGGTATTGTTTACTTGAATCTTCATATTGATGTTTAGGACTGCAATTGATCAGTTTCTTATTTGGCAAATGTGTACACTGTACGGATTGTTTCGATATTGCTTTAATTCAGAAACATTCTAAGTAAAGATGAATGATGGTCAACACTAGAATCCAAGACGCGCGTTTCGTCCTATTTGGGACTCGTCAGTCCTTATTTTGTATTCATTTTTATGTACGATTCTTAGAGATAGATTAGATAATGAAGAAGTTATCGAAAGGAATTCGTGTTCTAATATTCTTTGTTTGTTTAAATAACTTATAGTTCAAAATAACTACCTGTATTGGTTCGTTTGAATTTTGTTACTTCATTCTTAGTATCCTTTAATTGTTTTGTTAGTTTGACTAAACGTTCTTCCATAACACATATTGTTCTAGCATGTTGTCGAACTTGTTCTCTATAACTGTCTAATTCAGATTTCCAACGTGATTCACATTGTTTTTCAATTTCTTCATGTAACTTTATATTAGCTTGATTTTGTTGGTCTAATTGTGATTTCATTTCTTCTATTTCATTTTCTTTCAATTCAATTTCTTGTTGTAATCTCGGTAGAAGTTCACTTGCTTCTTTGGCTTCATTTAATTCAGTTTCATGAGCGATTTGCTTTTCGGCTAAAATCTTAAATTCAAATATCATAAGTATGTGATGCATTAACACTTTTATGGTTATATCAAGAAACAATAGATGACTAGGTAAAAAGCTTCTTTTAGTAATGATGTCTGTTGCCTGAAAACAGAAACCACCTTCGTTACTATCTAATGCTGGCTAATATAAGAGCAGTTTATATGAAATCAGAGAACGACGAAATCAACATGTGGCATTAATTCATAAAGTCAGTGGTTAGTTGTTGAGGCCACGTTAGTATTCGCAGAAAAAATTATGATGAAAAACTGGGGATCTTGAGTGAGGTTATTAAAGATCAAACATAGAAGACAAAATGTATTTCATTACTAAGTAGTTCTGTATAATTTATACCTATATATTACTCCTCTATTCAGAAATATGTTCAGTATTTCTTGCTATCACTGATATTACCATTATTTTTACTACGCTTCAGTCTATCTAGACTACTTTAAACTTCCTTGATGATTGAGTGTGTCAATTTGGGTTGATGCTCATATCTGTCAGGTCTAATATTTAGAATGACTGGTTTCTCAAATGATGAAGATAAAGAGAGCTTGTGTTGAGATTCGGAGTACAACTTTAACGATCTCTTCTTCAGATGTGGAAATGTAATACTGTTTCTTGATTCAATGAATTTTTCACTTAAATCAATTTGTACCTGACATCATTATTTAGTCTTGAGAAGAAAAGTTGAATTGATAATCTTAAATTTAAATTTACTTCTCGAAAGTGAGTAATATCTAGTATTCTGATAAAAGGACACAATATCTTAATTTTACACTATCGCTAACATGATATTTCTAACTTTCCTATAACTATCAGCAAATATATGTTAAGTCTCATTGAATAATCTCATACTCTAATGCTGCATTGAGCAGATAGCTCTGTAAATCTTTACTACTTAAACACTTTTTCAGTAGTTAACAAATATCAAGTAAAATGTACGTAAACTAAGTGGAAAATCGTACTCTGAGACACGTATTAAACATTCTGTGGCTATTTTTTTAAAAAAACTTACCTGTTCACTGTATGATTTACGTCATATCTAAGCTTGATTTTTCTTCTCTGTGATAAAATTTGCGAGTTAGATGTCATACATTATGGTCTTAATATATATTATCATCTTGATATTGATGTTTAATTGAAAGATGGACACATATTTTAGCTTAGAAATTACCAGATGAATGAACTCTGTTTCTACACTTTACAGGATATTCTATATTTAAACTCACCAGGCGATTAAACATAAATGTATATTTACGGAGACAACAAGTTGTATGTGCTGTATTAATTTTATGCGAACGACACTTAAAAATATAATCAGAGAGGGATTTTATGGATATTATAGTAATTTAATATTTGAATTCATGAGTTAATTAAAGCTAGACCATCATGGAAAACCTAGAAGCACTGGACAGACGTTTCGTTCTAGTATGGGACTCCTCAGCAGTTTACATCCGCGACCCCGCTCGCAGGATTCGATCCTAGGGCCTCGCACGTGAACGACTAACCTGTAGACCACTGAGCCGACCAGCATCCAACAGTGTTAATGTTTAACTTCCATCGATCCACGAAATTTTGTGGATAGGTTCTGGGTTCGGATCTTGTGAGGCTGTATCTTGGATGTGCACTACTGAGGAGTCCTACAATAGGATGAAATGGCCGTCCATTGTTTCCAGCTTTTCCATGATGGTTTAGCTTCAACTGACTCATGAATTCAACTTCAAAATATGTTTCATTATTATTATTATTCATTCATGATTACTAAATCCATTATTCAATAGTCTTCAAAGTAATCTATTAATTTTAAATAGAAATATTTTTCAACCACCACTGGCTAACAAACGTTTAGTCACCTTAATCAAGACATCTTTACAAGATAAGTGACCTGTTTGACTAAAGTATTACATAGTATAAATTTCAAATTTTCGTTAGAAATAATATGCTTATATATATGTAATTTAATAATTGAATTTATGAGTCAGTTGAAGCTAGACCACCATGGGAAACATGGAAGCAGTGGACGGCCGTTTCGTCCTAGTATGGGACTCATCGACAAAGCGCATCCACGACCCCGCCCCGCAAGATTCGTTCTCATGAATTCAGTTATTAAGTTACTACAATCTCCACAAAACCCTTGTCTGATTATATATACATGTGTAGATTTTCGACTGAGCTACAATACATTCACATGAAATGTTTCATCATACTACATTGATTTACTTGACGAGTTTCACGTAATTTATTTTCAAGTTCTTCAATGATTGTTGCTTTAACAGACAGTAATTGTTCTTGTCGTAAACTTTCCACACGTGCAACTTCTTCAACAGCTTTCTGGATTTTATCTGCATCTATAAAAGTAAATATAAAACATTATTGTAGTTTTTTAATGGATTTAGAGTATACAGTTTTATGATGATTAATGTGATAAACCACAAAGTTCTTCAATTGTTTAAATCGACATCATAAGAATGTTTAGTATTCGCTTGTTTCTTTTATGCTAAATGGGAAAATAATATTTTAGGCTAAATCTATACCAAGAAGGTATAAGTATTTATATATAGTTGTCTAAAGAAAATACTCAATATCCGTTGGACGGATACCATCACGAACGGCCTATTGTGTGAGAGGACAAATCAGCTCTCGGCTGAGGAGGAAATTAGGAAAAGACGTTGGAAATGTATAGGACATAAATTACGGAAATCACAAAACTGCATCACGAGGCAAGCGCTAACATGGAATCCTGAAGGGAAACGGAAAACAGTAAGGCTAAAGAAGACAGTACGTTGGGAATTGGAAGCAAGCATAAAAAAAAAGAATAGTAACTGAAAAGAATTGTCGAGGACAGAATTGTATGGAGGGTGCTGGTGATCGGCCTATGATCCTCCATGAGGAGTAACAGGCGTAAGTAAGTAATTAAGTAATTAATTAAGTCCAATGGGTTATTTTAGATTCTGGACAGACCAATTAATTCATTCTTCTTGGGTTGCATTTTGACCGTATCAATTATTCACCTTATTAACCTTGCTCGTTTCTATATGAACGCATACACATGCATCATCCATCGTCTACTCTATTCATCACGTCTTTAGTTTACTATTTTCGGATAGAAATTTTGAATTACACTTTATCAAACGATTTGTCTCACTTGCCAGTCCATTTTTCTCAATCTTCATTGTAAATGTTTGTACTAGATCAATAAGTATATGAAATCTGTGTGATCAAAATTTACTCTCGTATAATATGACTTATTTTATTCAATTATTCACTAATGTGAATTAAATCGATAATTATATCCGAGGGTAACTGGAATGTGAACATCCATGTACGATCAGATTGTAATCAGATAATCAGACGGAAAAATATCTTCATCATTTATTCATGATCTTAACATTGTAATTACTACAATCTCCACAAAAAACCCATCTGATATTAATCAACATATGCTCACTAGTGACTGGCTTCACGAGGTATATCCTGGAGTATAGTGAGAAGTAGTGACCAGTGGAGTTCAACCAGTCTGTTGTGAGATAGTAACTCACTGAAGACAATGGT